GGACTCCGGGATCATGACCTGAGCCGAAGGCAGTCGCTCAACCAACTGAGCCACCCAGGCGCCCCGAAAAGCCCTACATTTAAATCGCTTTTATTTGATTGATTGATTGATTGATTGATTGCTTGGGGGGGAGGAGCAGAGGGAGAAGAGGAGAGAGAATCTTAAGCAGGCTCCACACCCAGCACAGAGCCTAATGCAGGGCTCGATCTCACGCCCCTGAGACCCTGACCTGAGCTGAAACCAAGAGTCGGAAGCTTTACTGACCGAGCCACCCAGGTGCCCGTTAGGTCGTTTTGAATGGCGTCATCGGTTACTTGTGGCTGAAAGCCTTCTAGGAATATGTAGTCTTCGGGGGTGTGTTCCACGTGAAGGGCTGGCCGGCAACCAGGCGAGGACAAGCCACCGCGCGTGCGGCACTGCTAAGTGTGTGTGTGTGTGTGTGTGTGTGTGTGCACGCACGCGCACGTGTTGGCAGCATCTGCTCACCAGAGGCCCTGAGCGAGTGCCTGCCCTGTGCAAGCCCCGTGCAGCGGCTGTGTATCTGGGACACCGAACTGGGTCGCCTGGCATATTTGTGCGTGTCCTGCGTGGTTCCCCCATGAGACCCAGGCTCCGTCTTTCTTGCGCACTTCCCTTGTCCTTGGCCATCTGCCTATCCGTGGCCCCCATCCTGGTTGCCCGGACAACCTCTGTAGAATCCCAGCTAGTCTCTCAGAAGGTATTCTTGCTCTTTAGTCTATTTTCCGCTCAGCAGTCAGAAAGACCTAGAATTTGAAAACATGCATTGGATCGTGTTGCTCTCTTATTGAAAACCCTTCAAAGGCCCCTGTTGCTCTGAGGCGCCTCCCTACAGAGACCTCCAGTTCATCCTTCTCCTCCCGTTTGGGTTTATTTCTCAGTGTCGAGGTTGAGCAGGGGGTATGGGGAGATGGATTCCTACAAGCTGGATTTCCCCAGTACCTGTGACCGCTGGTTTCCAGCTGGGTTCAGCCAATGGGGGGCACTGGTGGGAGACAGGAGGGCTGGGGGAAGAGAGAAATCAGGGTAGTCTCTCCCTATGCCTCCTCCATGGCTCCCGATGGACAGGCCTGGGCTGGGTCCAGCTTTGGCTGGGCGGCCCTGGCTCCTGAGCTCCAGCTAACAGCATCCCCTTCCTCTATCCCTCCATCCTGGGAGTAGCTTGGCTAATCTCTGGGTTCCTCCACCTTCCCTGTTGGCTTCTCGACACTTCCTGCACCTGGGTAACCGATTCCCTGAATGAAATTGAGATTTCCGTTTTCTGGCTTGACACTGACAGCCTTCTGACTTCCGGCCTGAGGAGGAAGCCAGCAGCCTGTGTAGGGCGGAGCCACCAGAACGAACCCCAGCCTTGGTGTTCCTCCTGTGCTTCCCCTGCCTCTGGACTCGAAGTCAAGTCCTGTGAGAGGATACATGTCCTAATTGTTTACCTTAGACAGAGCTTCTTGCTGCTCACATCTGAAAACGTTTGTGGCATTTGGTGCCAGAGACCTGTAGCTGCCCCCACTACCCATTCTTCCTTTCTTTTTAATGGCAACAGATGTTGTCCTTGTGCACAGGGCATTTCCAGGCTCCTGGGCAGCCAGGGGAGGCCAAGTGCTGATTTCTGACGTTGGTCAGAAGAGATGTATGCAAATTTCAGGTTGGGTGCTTAAAGATAAAGCACCCGCTTGCCCTTCCCTCTCTCTGTCGGGAACGTGGGTGTGGTAGACGAGCCATCGTGCGTGCGTGTGAGTCTCCTGGGGTCGCTCACCGGAGCTTAAGCGATAGAAATGTATCCTCATAGTTCTAGATGCTGGAAGTCTGAAATCAAAATGTCAGCGAGGTTGGTTCCTTCTGAGGTCATGTTGGAAGGAGCTGTTACAGGCCCCTCTCCTTGGCTTGGAGATGGCTGTCTCCCCTCTGTGTCTGTCTGTCTCTGTGTCCAAATTTCCCTTTTATAAGGACAAGTCATGTTGGAGTAGGGCCCACCCAAATGACCTCATTTTAGCTAATTGCATTGGCAATGACCTTATGTCCAAATAAGGTCATATTCTGAGGTACTAGGAGTTAGGACTTTGACATCGGAATCTGGGGGGACACAACTAAACCCCTTACAAATGCCTTGTGGATGAGGACACACTCTAGGAACCTCGAGATGGAAAGAGCAGATGACTTCACAGAGCAAAGCTGCAAGGAGAGCTTGGACTTTGTGGTTAGAGGGGAATACATTTCTAGCTTAATTTTATGCACTGCTATTTGAGGTCTCTGCTGCATTCAGTGAAACCACGATCTGGGAAGGGAACAGAGGTCAAGCCCAAAGGGTAATAGAGGAATATTTAATCGAAGTGCAGGCAAGATTGGAGAAACTAATAAGAGATGGTGAGGCACCCCAAGGCTGGCAACAATGGGGAGCTGATACCACGCCTAGGCCTGAAGGGCCAGAGGGAGGAGGGGGTTCTTGGAGCCCAGAGGAAGTAGCCCTGGGAAAAGGAGGCCTCCTGCTGGGAGCCAGGGCCTTTGGTGGAGGAATGCGGCCAATGCAAACCTGCAGAAAGGGGGCTAGCGAATAGACACCCTAACTGCTCTCTCTTCCTGTCCTTCAGTCTCTGCTGGTAGCTTCCCCTGACTGATCCAAACCCAGAGGACAAATGAGCCGGCTGATGCCATCATCCATCAGGCCAGCCAATGGGGCAGGGTGGGGCCAGGCGGAGAGCAGACGGAGAGTGCCCAGCGGACCGACGTTGAATTCCTGCTGCCACGCTACCCTGCTGGCGGTGAGTTGTCATCCTGGCAGAAGGATTGCTGGGGACCGGGACAGTGCCTGGAATCCAGTAGGTGCTCCACAAATACTTGTTGCATGTGTATGTGCCAGGAGGGCAGGGGAGGGAGGGAGCTTCACCCCTCCAGTCTCCCCTTCACACCCCCCCACAGGGGCCAGGGGGTTCTCCCACCCCACCCCGGCTCTGCCCAAGGAAGGCATGGCCCTGGCTGTGGGAAGAAGGCTGTCCCTGTCCCCACCGCTCGCCAGTGCAATTGCCCAGCAGTCTTCTCGCATCCCAGCTGATTCAGTGGCTTCCTTGGGGCGAGAGACATGCCATTTCTGCCCTGGGTCCCCTCAGTGGTGGCTTCTTGGCGCCATTGTCATGGGGCGCCTGCCTGATCCTGGGCCTCCCTGAGGTTGTGCTGTCCCATCTTATAGGGGTGGGGCTGGTCGTTGCAGAACTACAAGGTGATGAGGCACCAGAGTCTGGACTTAAGATCATTATGTGGGATGGGATTAACAGTTAACACTGGCACCTTAAAGGCTCTGAAAAGTCCTGCAGGAAAGAACTGTTTGGACTTTGTGTGATCTCATGTTTCCAGATCCCATCTGATCTTTGTTTCTTTGTTGTGTTCCCGCTGGGTTCTGTTCTGAGAGCCGAGCCCACAGCAGTGAACAAAGCAGACAAAAACCCTTGCCTCATGGGGCTCCATTCCCGTGGGTCCATTTGTCATGGAATATCTACTAATATCTTCTAGAAGGCTGGTCATCAGAACCACCATCCAAACCCCACTGCCGAGCATCTCTGGGACACACAGAGGCGATGGCCTCCAGATGTGCCCTTCATGAATGTCAGGGTCAACTCCACTTTCAGGGTAGGAAGAGTCAGGCATTTGACGAGTCCTTTAGCTTCATTCATTCATTCATTCATTCATTCTTTCTTTCTTTGCCTCTTTTAATGTGTACCTACTATGTGCCAGGCCCCCTCTGGGACTTCAAAGATGAATAAGAGAAAGTTTTACCTTCGTGGAACTCCCCATCAGGTGGGAACCAGAAATAATGGAAACATCTTCTTCCTAAGAAAAAGTCTCCCCAGCTGCACCCCCCGCCCCCGACCTCCTTCTCAATTCCTCATATTTTCCTGCACACGCAGAGGTCCACCTCCCATTCAGGACATGGCTTGCAAAGGCCTCATGGATGGAGATTTGGCCTTCCCAGGGGTTCGGAGGAGGGTCCTCTTTTGGGATTTCCTCCCATTCAGGACATGGCTTGCAAAGGCCTCATGGATGGAGATTTGGCCTTCCCAGGGGTTCGGAGGAGGGTCGTCTTTTGGGATTTCCTCCCATTCAGGACATGGCTTGCAAAGGCCTCATGGATGGAGATTTGGCCTTCCCAGGGGTTCGGAGGAGGGTCCTCTTTTGGGATTTCCTCCCATTCAGGACATGGCTTGCAAAGGCCTCATGGATGGAGATTTGGCCTTCCCAGGGGTTCGGAGGAGGGTCCTCTTTTGGGATTTTGCTCCAGCTGCTCCTAGACCAGAAGCCCCCAGAGGGTCAATGGCAACATAGCTGACAGTGTCCACAGGGCCTGGAAGGCGAGATGCCCCGCAGGGATTGTGTGGGGGAGATGGCCCATCTCCCTCGGGGCCAAGCCAAGGGCCAGGGTGGATGCCTGTCTGTCTGCAGGGCCGACAGAGGGGTGCGAGCTGCTCAAAGCCAGCAGGATAGAGGCTGGGTGGTTTATCGGGCGAAGCTCGGTGGGGGAGGGGGGCCTTCCCCAGACCATCGGTGACCCTCTGCCAGGCCAAGCAGTGACCAACCAGGGGCCTTGAGCCAGGCCTCACTGCTCTCTGGGTCTCAAGTCTCCATCTGCCAGAAAGAAGAGAAGAAGAGAAGGGTCAGATCATCTTGCAGGCTCAGTTTCAGACATTCTGTGACTGAATCTGGACGCCTTGGACCTGCCCCTTGCACTCCCCTGCCGCCTCCCTGACTTTCCGTCTTTCTTCCTCAGCTCAGGGTCTGGGGAATGGCTCTGAGCTCCAAAGCTGAGCAAACAAACATGTCCAGGCCCATAGGGAACTGGGGGTAAGGGAGGCCATGGCTATTTTTAGCCCAGTTTGAAGGATTTTCACAGCTGCTCCCGTTGTTCCCACGCTCTTTGCAGGGGCCAGGCTACCGGAGCAGCGGACGGGATCGTGGCTGTGATGGCAGGGGGAACACTCCTGAAAGAAAACCTGCCCGCCTCATGCCTGACATCCGCCCTTAGTAATCCATAACGCTACTGAGCATTGCCCTCCTCCCCTGCTTCCAAAATGTAGGAGCCCCAAAGGAGGGCTCTACACTGAGTCAGTAATGCTAGCAGGAGGGAGTCTGGCAATTCTTAGATCACGGGGCCCTGGGGGAACGTCAGGGATTACTCAGGAAAGTCTGCGGAGCCTGTTTGCCCTAATCAGCAAACATTTACTGAGCACCTATTAAGTGCTAGTCCTGGGCGGGGAGGCTATTTCCAACAGCCAGTAAGGATGTGCTAAGTCTTTTCTGCAATTTTTTTTTAAGATTTTATTTATTTATGAGAGAGGCAGAGAGAGAGTGCACGCGTGAGTGAGAGAGTGAGAAAGAACATGAGCAAGGGGGAGGGGCAGAGGGAGAAGCAGACTCCCGCTGAGCAGGGAACCCGGCCACAGGACCATGACCTGAGCTTGAAGGCAGACACTTAACTGACCGAGCCACTCAGGTGCCCTACAATTTTTTTTTTTTTTTTGAGAGAGAGAGAGCAGGCGGGGAGGGGGGAGGGGTAGAGAGAGGGAGAGAGAGAATCTCAAGCAGGCTCCACGCGCTCAGCACAGAGTCCGATGCAGGGCTCCATCTCACCACTCTGAGATCATGACCTGAGCCACGATCAAGAGTCCGATGCTTAACCGACTGAGCCACCCAGGCGCCCCTTTTCTGCAAATTAATGTGAATTAAGTTCACTGATTCAGTGCCAGGCACTGTGCTTCATTCTTCACGGAGGTAATCTCAGAGATTGCTCTATTTCCAAAATATACCCTGATCCCAACCATGTCTCTCCATTTCCATCTCCACCACCCCAGGCCCCACCCACTTTTTTCCATGACGAAAATAGCTCCAGTTGGCCCCCCTCACTCTTACCCCATAATCCTCCATTGTCAGCCGCGCCCAGAAAGACATTTGTTTGAAAGAGTAAATGAGATCCTAGGTCCTTGCCCTACTCAGTTGCCTCCCCTCGCCCCGTGGCTTTTTCCTTATACTTAGAATAAAGATCCAAGTCTTTATTATCAGACCTGCTGAGAGATTTTACAGGGTCTGGCTCTCACTCACCTCTTTCTCTCTTTTTGTCTTATTCTCTCTTTCTCTGTCAGTTTGGATTTCAAGTAACAGAATTGGATTAATAATAATCTTCAGTCTATGACATACTCTCATCACAGTTTCAGGTATCATTAGGCTACTCGTGGGCTACTTTTATTTAGTTAGACATACAGTTATTTTAAATAATATGTTAGTGCGTCTAACATACTGACACAGATGAAACTTGAAAGCTTTTTTTTTTTTTAAAGATTTTATTTATTTAGGGCGCCTGGGTGGCTCAGTTGGTTAAGCGACTGCCTTCGGCTCAGGTCA